AAATTTTTATTTTGTCTTTCTATTCTAAATCAAGTGGCTTATATAAGCTTGTAAATGTTCTCCATAAATTGGAAGTGATTTTTAGCTTCATAACACTCTCATCTGAGAACAGCTACGTGAATTGCATTTAAGACCTGTAAATAGGCCCCTCAATTTCAGAAACAGAGTTGGGGATTCTATCTGGTCAAAAATTAAACACATTTGAGTAGTACATTACTAGTTAATATTATGGGATATTTGTCATAAATCATGAACTTTTTTCAATATTTTATACTATTCTATTTAATCTTCATAACACTTCTGTGAATTGGGTATAATTATTATCATCACTTTATATTTGAAATTAAAGAGGTTAACAATTTTGTCTAAGATCTTACACTTCTTAAGAGGAAGATCTGGGTCTTAGATCTAATTCTGATTGACATCAAAGTTAATGATCTTAATCACTGATATTCCGGTACCATCTGATGCAAAATAAATCACTTGTAGGAATAAAAATAAATCATGTACTGTATATTAGGAATATTTTTTAAACTTTGAAAATTTTCTGAGTAGATAAGGAACCCATCAGAGATTAGTCAAAATGATTTGATCTCTTATAAACAAATATGTATGAACTATCTAAATTTCTGGCAATAGAACAAATTCATCCTTATTTATTTCTTAATATAAATATTTTTTACTATTAGTTCATATTGGCATATACAACATTGCTGGCCCTATTCAATGATTGTTTTAGATAAAATATGATTTGTCCTTTGCACTGAGGTTATTTAAATTTTATGGTTATTAGAATATCACAGGAAGCTGCCTAGGTCTCTGAGTCTCTGAGTCTCCAATAATTTTGCTATAAGGCAGATCAACTGTTATTTATTTTAAACCAATATGTAATGATATTAATCCCAAGTGTATGGTGTGTAAGTATAGTAAATGTAATGGCTGATTTTAGAGCTGGAGCAGGAAAGACACAAGATGAGCCTGGCATATATTGTCACACAGGAAAGTATGCAAATGCTAAGAAAAAAATGATGTGGCCTATCACCGTAACACAAGCAAAAGTCAGAATGAAATTACCCTCACTGGCCAAATCAGGGACAGTCTGAGCATCAAAATAATTAAAATAGTAATGAATCATAACAATTTTTAAAAGTTAGGAATCCATAAATTGATGGCATAAGATGCAGATAAATAATCAAATGAATCACAAATAAGGGGAAATGAGGCTCTTGTTTACAGCAGAAAACCAAGTGCTAATGAGTGAAAGTTACAGGATTGCTTCAGTGAGAAAAAAGCAATAATCTTTTGGAATCAGTAGGGTAAAGACTGGTTCACAGAAGAATCACTGATAATGCTAAATCTAAGAGTGAGTTTGACAAATAGCAGATATTTGTATTTATGGCCTTAAAATCCTCCCCTATTGCTTATTGGTAGATTGGGGAAAGAAAAAAGTAACTGCACAGGGCAGAAATCAGACAACATCTTGATTGGGTAATAGAAATTAACATCACAAATGAGGAACAGATGGATATCCTGTGCCTCTGGCTATCATTCCTTGAGAAGGTTACAACTTCATTTATTTATTTCCAGATGGGCATAACTAGAATCTAATGAAGAAACACGAGTCAAACTCAAAATGAGAGATACTCTATTTTAAACAAGGGGTACATGCATTGTTGAAAATGTCAGTATTCCGTAATGACAAAAAACGACTAAAGAATTATTACCCCGACTAAATAAGACTAAAGTGATATGACAACTAAATAAAATATTGGACTCTTTACTAGAGGAAAAATAATTTTATAAAGGACATTATTCAATCAGTTGACAGAATTGGAAGATGAATAGTAGTTCAATAAAAGTATAATAACAATGCTAGATGTATGAAAGTTGAAAACTGCATTATGGTTTTGTTAGAGAATGTCCTAATTCTTCAGAAATGCATACTGAAATAACTAGGGAGAAAAGAGCATGAAATATAGAGGTTGCTCTCAAATGACTCAATGAATATATATGTATATGTACATATATACACATATATGTATTTTTCAACATACTCTATGCACAGAAAATGATGAAGCAAAAGGGAAAAATGATCATGAATGGAACTGAGTAACAAATATAGTGTGTTCTTTAAATGATTATTGCAATAACTTTTAAATATAAATTTGAAATTAATTCTGACATACAGAAGAAAAAAAGAAATCATTGGAGTAAGTAAACTCCAAGAAAGCTCATATATCTTGAAACTTCTTAGGAGAGATGCTTTTAGCAAAAATACACTGAGATGTTTGAACTAAAAAGTGAAATAGCAACTCCAGCTGGCTCAGGTGATATCTTCAATGTGGCTAAACCACAACCTAAGCTTTCTGTATTTTAGAGAGAAGCTCTGTGAAGCTATTATTCTGTGACCACACATTTTCTTATTGATTTTTAAATGGAGAATAGATCATGAGTTAAGTTGGCAAAAATTCCTAAAGATGTTGGTAAAAAAACACAAACAAATCACACATGTACAAAACCTAGCCATTGTTTCTCTGGTTGACAGAGAGTACAGTTGATCCTAGAACAGCAAGGGATTGAAATGTACAAGTCCACTTACATGCATATTTTTTCAATAAGTACCTGTATTAATTTTGATTTGCAGATTAGGGTCCACCGATTCCACAGAGCCCACTGTATGTACTGATCTAGGCCATTTTAAATAGGGAAGTTGAGTATTTGCATATTTTGGTGTCTGGGAGGGTTCCTGGAACCAACAGCCCTTAGATACCAAGCAACAAGTCAGGTTTTGAGGGAGTCAAAATTTATAAGTGGGTTTTAGAATGTGCTGGGTCAACCCCTCTAACCACTGCATTATTCAAGAATTAATTATATATCTGTATCTATTTTTAACACTAAACATTGTTCATATGGTGGCTGCTGTTTTGAGTCACATTTCTGTTGTGATATAGCAAAAGAAAAGAGGAGAACATACAAAATATTGACATTTCTTAGGTAAAATACAAACATACCGGTGAATTTTACAATTTTGAATTCTAGTATAAACATATAAGTTGACAAGAGATAACAGAATTATCAACAGAATTATCAGATGTTATTTAAAGCAGAAACGCGACAGTGCTGTTCACTTGAATACAGATCATTAACACATTATGATTTGACATTATTGGACACTTTTATAAAAATATAAGCATGCTTAGCTATTCACTGGATAATAACTAATATTTATGCTAATTTTACTAATTTTCTTTGTATGGAAGGATGAGGAAAACAAATCTATGCACAGTTTAACTCATAAACCCAATCTGTCTACTTGCAGCTTCATGATGTTATCCATTGTCATTATTCTAATAACTTCCTAACCAACATTCATGCTATTTAATTAAACTAAAAATGTATCCAAGCACTTTAAAAATATGCATAACAACAAGCACTGGAAAGCAGGAGAGTTCAATCCAACATATTAATCTTAAATTATATAAAGATGTAAATTATGTGCTTTGTTCTTACAGAAAATATATTATCATATCAGATTTAAATCCCTGGAAAGATGATTAAGAATCAGTCATATATTTGCATAGCACCTTATACTTTTTAAAGCACATTTATGCCTATTATTTATTTTGTGTCTCACAATAGCCAGGGATTATTATCATTTGATTTTTGGAAAGTAGGAAGCTAACTGAGAGGAACCAAGGCTAAGAGATTTGCATCAGGACTGGCTGAACAGATGAATAGGGACATCGAGGTAGGAGCACATGTATCCTAATTCTTAGTCCTGGGTCTGTCTCCAACCCCACAGAGCCTGCCACTAATTTAGTGCTCACATACCAGCTTTTATGATTCTGTAGTCACTCTAGAGAGTGAAGTGTTGGCAGTCAGGAGTGCACTTGTGTTTCAGAAATATTATAGAGGCCATAATGCATATTATATAAGTGTATACTGGTGTTACATTGATTTTTTTCTCACATTAATAGCAATACTAAGCACATGATGTGAGTAAGTCTCATTAGACCTACTGCATAACTGAGGAAACTGAAAGACACTTAAGGATAAGTGATATTAAAGAAAGTATTAGCAGAACAAATAGATGTTCCAGTTGTACTCTGGCTATGGCTACATAAAATGTGACTTTCTGATTTCTTTAAAAGCATTTTCATCACAACAGCCTTGTTGAGGTGATTTCCACTAAAAATATAAAACAAATAGAACCAATTTTTATTACCTGAAGCATTGTGGAAACCTGTTCATTAAAAGCACCACCTTCACTTTCATGGTACATTCAAAGTTATATAGTTGAAATATTAAAATTTTACACAAGTTGATTCTGTTCAAGTTCTTGCTGTGAAAACAAGTGTTTTGATGATGATTATCCTCAGCTTCCCAAAGCAGACAACCTCTTCAAGGTAGGAGGGTGTGCACTGAAATCTGAACACATGTTATGTCCCCTAATTCCACGTAGTTATGTGATCTTGTACAAGTCACTTACGCTCTTGGGTTTTTAGACCCCTCATCAGTTAGAATTTAATTTTAACTACTAGATCCTTGATTCTGAACTGCACTTTCAAATTAGACACTGCAACCTCATAATTTGTATAATGTGATTCTCTGCTGATTACCTCAGCAGCTCATTCTGGCCTATTAACATGTGAATGCCAACAGAATAAAAGCCTTACACCATTTAAATGAAAATATTTCTCTTGTAATATTTCCATTTGGGCTTTTTGTCTATTGATTTGTGATTGTCCAGTATACTAAAATGAAAATAACTTGATTAAGAATCAGGAGACATGGGTTCTATTCTGGGCTCTGACAGATAATATTCGCTTAACTTTTGTGAACTACAAGTCTTTAGGTATGAAGAAGAGATTAAAAATATGCATCCTGATGTTCTCATGAATAAGATGTAAAGGGAATAAGTTGACTCTTAAGTTTGGAACAAGCGAAGTTACAGGAGAATACTGAACAGCACAAACAGCACTGACATATTTCTGCTTTACCTGATGGGGAGATGTGCCGCCAAGAAATGGAAGGCTCTGGTTTCCCAGTGGCCAAACAAATAAGGGTGACATTGGTTCCTTCATTGATGGTCATATCACTTGAGATGTCATATATCTTCGGAGGAACTGAAATGGTAAAACATGCAGTGGTCAGAAAGAATATATAATAAGCTGTTGATCTATCTATGGTAACTCCATGATAACATGCAGTAAAGCTGTGGTAGTGAAATGCACATATGGCCTATGACCATTACTTTCAGAATAGATTCTCTGCATCCTCAGGACTCTGCTAGAGGTTTTCTGTTGTTATTGTTGTTGCTGGTTGGTTAGTCTTATTTTCTTTAATTTTTAGATATATAATATTTTAAAATAAATGGAATATTTAATGACAAAAATGTTTAAACATTGCCTAAATTAAAATCTGATTACAGATACTTTGTATTAAGTAAATTAGAATATAGTTATTCTGTCTATTCCACCCATGTATCTTCACTATATGATGGCTTTCTTGCTGAAAATATTAAATGAAATGGAAATCTGGAAGAAACTTAAAAGAGCAGAACGGTTATGCCTACAGGCTGATTTTAGAGCTGAGAGGGAAATATGTACAAGATTGGAAGGTAAGATTGCAGGGTCCTGAAGGCATTTGGGGCCTCAGTTTCCATCTGTCAAATAGTAGGGCTGGATATTCTCAGCATTTACATTCTAAGAAACACTATTCCCAAGGGCTGGGAGACGTGTGTTCAACAAGAGTGGTCTTGTCAGTAACAGCTAGAAATCACTGGTTGAAACAAGTTCACATGGAGAGGTTCTTTTTCTTAGAACCTCTGTTATGCCCAATGAACATCTCAAGGAGTAAAGGGGATTTTCCCTTGAATTATTAGACTATGGAAGTTTTACCCCAGAATATTTGGTGGAACTACTGATCATGGAATACACTTTAGGCATGTTGAAAAAGAAAATCTCTAAATTAATGTCTCAGATTAAAATGTTCATTATTTTCTCAAATACCAAAAAGTCTCACTTAAATGTCAAACACCATGGATATGAATCCTGGGTCCTCTTCTGGCCAGTGTGTTATCTAGGCCAAGTTACTTAATGTATCTCAGTTTCAGTGTGTCCATCTGTCTCCATCTGGAAGCTGGAGATAATAGTACAAACTTCATATAGCTGCTTGAGAATCGAGCAAGTCAGGACACGTTACAGGACTCAGAAAATAGCCTGGCATCAGTGTTAGCTCTTATTATTAGATACCTCAGAAGACATATATCACATTGTGTTACTTTCAGTACTTTCTCTCTCCCATGCCTAAAAATGGCTCTCAGTAAGTAGTACTTCATCACTTTGGGAGTGTATAACTGCCGTAAATTTTGGTTTACTATATAAAAATTGTAGTATGCTAAAGTTCCCCATTAAAGCTAAACAAATGGCAATTGGATACCTTGATAATTATAAGAAAAATAGGATATGTTAATTGTTAGGTTCTTAGAGTTTCTTTATGCAAGAGATGTTTTCACAGTTATTTAAAAAAAAAACAGTAACCAAAATCTATCATAAGGATAAATTAAATCACCTATACTTTGAATATCATCTTTGATTGTTTTCAATGAAACTATAACCCTGCTAAAAGAAAATCTAGGATAATGATTTCAAATATAAAGCATTTCACTATATGTAACTGTTGCTATGATCGAATAAAAGGCTTCTTCCAAAGTGATATACAATTGTAATGTTTCTAAATGACATTTTAATTGGCATTTAAAACATATTATCATTAAACTCTTCAGTGAGCTCTTCTTGGAAAAATAATAAAAAACAAAAATCATTCCAAAAGATACTCTTTTTAGCTTAACTGAAACAGAACAGAAATACAGACATTAAAATGCCATACTAAGAAAATAAGGAAATATGTGAATGACCTACTACTGAGAACATGAGAGTTAATAAAAATAAGCTTATAACAGTAAACAGGAATATCATTGGCTATGTGGATGCAGGTATAGGTTTGACATAGTAAACTCTGAAATATATGTATCACACATACGCAAACACATATACATAAAAACAGCGTGCATATATACCAATGCACCCTGTTAAGAAAATAAAATTAAAAAGTTAGAAAGCACTTTTTCCTTTATATAGAGTATGGTACACAGAGATCAGCAGAGCTTAGCTAGTTTCTTTGTATACTTTAAAAATACAAGTGATTATTTAAGAATAGTGATGGAGTATCATAAGACAATGCATTCTATCCTCTCAATTACATTATTTTCTCAATTCTATCTGACCTCAGATAGTTTAGTTTCATCTTATATTTATGTGTAAGTTAAATATGTTTCATTTTATGTTATATATCTACTTATATTTTAAGCAGTAAACATAGTTGTAAACTAACATTAAGCACAGTATTTGCCTTAAAAAAAAACAACGAAGTTCCTTAGCTATAAACTTAGATTTGACATTCAACTATAGGAAATTGTGTGGTGGGGAAGCATTGAATTCCACGTGTGACATGTCATCTCAGTGACTGCAATCACTGCTCAGGGCATCATAATTGAGGATATGCTACAGGGAAGGAACATATGGAAAGAGGAGGCTAGTAAGGGAAAATCCCTTTGGCAAGCCTGTTCTCCCCAGAATGCATCACCTGTTGATAGCAGATCCTGTAGGTAAGGGGGTGGGGGGGCAGGCAATGAAAGCCTTTACATGCACTGTAGTTTGTGAAGGCAAAAACAGATGTCACTTCACTGAATATTCAAAGCCATTGCATCCTCAGTTTAAGACTTCTATAGAGTATTATGAAAGGTTAATTCTGGACACACAAGAAATGTAAAAATATCAAAGTATAATCCTTGTCTTCAAAGAACTTAAAATTAAAAGGAGACAGAAGGGTATGTAACAAAGATAAAATAAATATTTTCGACCTTTTAGTTTACCATTTTACATGAGTAACATATATCTAATAGGTATGCCTTCTGGATTCAAATTGACAGAGATTGGTTTCATATTGCTTTTTTTTTAATGTGAAGTACGTAGGACATTTTATGCACAAAGCTATTCGATGTGGCACCGTTTATAATGGAGAAAACTAATGATAACTTCAATGTAGAACAACATAATGGAGGTATTTGTCAGCTCTACCTCCAGAATAAGGTATGGTAGTGGGAAAGGGTTTGGGATGACTCCAGGGAGCATCAGGCTAAGGGAAAATAGAGATGCTTCTCCACTGGCAGCAGAAGCAAGGGAGAGTAGTAATATCTCAGACATCTTAAGACCATCCAGTTCTGGTAGCTCTCCCTGGGTTACCGTTTGTGTGTAAATGAGGCGCACACACAGGTGGGAAGGACTCTATTGGGCTTTATGAATGACAAAGCAGTGTGTCTTATGGTATGTCCAATATGCTGTGCTCTAGCATAGAAAAAAGAAAAATGAGGAGAGTTAAAATAACTTACTGTTCTAGATGCATGTTCCTTTTCTATATACTTCAATCCAAACTTTCTCAAAGCCCTTTTTAAAGAAATTTACCTTAAATGATGTCTTTAAAAATGAGCAAATGTGTTCAATCAATTCAAATATTTTAAATCACTAAATATCTATGAATTTTAACAAGTGTTTTGGATTTCTGTGTACATTATTTATTTGTGACCAGAGCAGAGTAATAAAGAAATATGTTACTCATCTAAATGTAAAATTATTTAATTTGCAGAAACTAATTATTACAACATTATCATGACACCAAAAATAAAAATAGCAAAAGACAGAAGTTCTAGATTTCATACTAAATCACAGAATAATCTCTTTCCTAACTGGGAGTCTAATTAAGGATATCCAAGACTTTATAACTGAGTTTAAAATTATTTGTTGTATATCACCAGTTAAAGAGATTGTAAAATATTGAAAGTTCTCCGAGATAGAGATTAAAAGTAGACTTAAAGGTTGTGTTAGGATTAAATGTTCTATAAAATTCCCAGATACATTTAAAGAAATCACTCTTGATCCCTCAAATTAATAACCTGCTTGACTTTAATTATTCAAGGGTTTCAAATTCAACTGCTACTTAGTATGGCCTAGCCTCCACTCTTATTCAGTTGATTTAATGATGAGAGAATGATATGTATTTAAATGCATCTATATATTTAAATTCTCTAAAGGTAATTTAAATCTTTTATTTGTCTCAGTTTCTCCAAAAATTATGTGGTCTGAATTGTCCCAACTGCTTCCCCCAATCTGAGTCATCTATCACAGTGTCCTCTCGTAGGTGTAAGGTGTTATAGGCAAGGAATATCTTAGAATACACGTGAAAACCAAATCCTAATGATTTCCACTCAGCCAAACATTTTGTATTAGTCCCTACTATTTGCAGTATAATGGAAATTGAGTTTGTGAGAGGCAGCCTGGTTGGCTTATTATTATTATTATTATTATTACTTATTTTCTATGCTACATAAGTATGTTTTTGTTTGTTCAATGAGCAGCCTTCACTGATTTAAATAAAATTTCTTCCAAAAATTCATCTTGTAGTCTGGGATATAACCATTAAAAAGTCAAGACAAGGGTGAATAATCTATACATAACAGGAATCATATAAGAATAGTTTTATTTCACTAAAAGTCTGCTCAGATGATTTTCAGAAATAATAAATAAAATAAAGTTTACACCTATACTAAGTGTCAGTAGATGCAAGCCTGGGTCACACATGATATTGAGAACCATTAGAGGATGTATTTGATGGTTATTTTAACTGTAAATTCAAGACATGGACTATTTGGATCTGTAAATTTACACTGGCTCACTGGAATCAATTAAATGCCCCATCGAGTTCTTAAGTTGTAATAGTCCATGAAACACCACAGATACCAATTCATTTGGAGGTATTCTTTAGGCTGCCAGGGCTAAAAGCTGGATGGAGTATTTATTCCAAAATATATACTATTTATTTAGTTATACACTCACATATTATAAAAGAAACCAGTAAATCAGTTCAGCATTTATTGTAACCATAGTATTCCTTAGACAGGCTGTAAAATTAGTGTTTTAGAGTGCACCAGGTGTACTCCCACTCATTCTCTGAAGTTATAGGTGCATTACCAAAATTTTTTAAAGGTTTTAATATATCTATTTGAATT